TGAGCCCCTGCCAAACCGCTAAGTCTTTCCCTGGCTTCACCCATAGATCTAGGACTGGTTTTATCCTAAAGAGTGGCAATCTGTGGCAATACAGCAAAGGCAGAAACTGGCAGGTCTCTATAATCCCATGTGTAGTATCTCCACGGGAGCTCAAAAGTCACATTTCTGTGTGACTACCCCTTATAGGAGCATACCGGGGTCCTGATTTGGTCCACTATGAGGTAGATACATAAAGACAAGTTACCTTATGTCTCAGCTGAGCAGCTGACCAGATGCATCTGCCAATACCTTGAGGTCCCTGCTCAGATCCATCTGGCTATTAGCTGCCTCTGACCTGTTGAGGAGAGCATCTGGCAGATGCATCAATGTATTTGGGTATCTTTGTATGGGTGCAACTTGTGATTTTCAATGAATTCAAGAGTACATGAGGGTGTTTTCAAAGCACTTCTGAGTAACACAATTGAATGAGAAATGAAGATGAAATGTTTTGAGAACCTTTGGATTGATGTTGAAGTTGGCCACAGATGTGTCTAGTGTGTTTACTCTTCTTCAAAGCAAATACAGTCTGTACATTTTGAGTGACACAGGTGCACAATAAAACAATTCAGAAGTCCTAGAGGTGTTCTCCTTCAAATGATTGGCTTTGCAGCCATTGGAGACGCACACCTCTTGAAAGGCTTGTATGTCATTTAGTACAGGCACCACAGGTGTGTTAAAGAGCTCCAAGGAATAATTCTTTGAGGTTTTTAAACCTCAAGTCAAATGTTAGAGCATCCACTATGGGTGTGGTAACCAAGTGATGTAGCGTAAGTTTAACTTTACCGCAATAATACAGGCAGGTTCACTATGGACCTGTTTTAGACTTGCAGTCCCTACCACTGTGTCAAATTTTGCATCCCCCATGTTCAAATCTAAAAATGCCTACAACTCGATTTATTGTAGACTTTTGGCACACCAAAGTGGTCAAGAGCCATCCATCTTCATCCATCCAGCTCTGCACTCAACACCTTCACTCAAAATCTTTCCTCTCCCCTCAAAATCTCAGCTTGGTGATAGTAGCTGTTTACTCTGAACTTATTAAAAAAGTATTTTTTAAGGAAAAAGGTGATCTTGCACAATTGATTTCACCAAGCTCAAACAAGTGGTGAGAAAGCCTTTTGCTCATTGTCAACAACTGAAGCCTTCATATTCTTCCTGGTCACCCAGGTGGTCATCAGCATAAAAGTGAGGTGGGTGAGGTGCGGTAAGATACTATAAGTTGATTTGTGATTTTGCCATAATGTGTAGAGTGTCTCAAGAATGCATCATTGTAGTTGAATCTTACACTACATCATCCAATCATCATTTCATGCAGTTAAAAACTTAGCTATAACACGCATGATGAAATTTTGCAATCAGGGGCACAAAACTTACAATAAAAGACCCTCAACATAGTGGGTGCTCTTAGGGATGCATAAGGCATCATATGGCTCCAAAAACTGTATAGGATACAAAGATTAAACCAGTTGTGAGGACTTTAAAGGATTTTTTCATGAACATAAAAAGTATCATACAATACCACCTGTACAATACACCAGAAATTGATGATAAAAGAGAAATGTAAGGAACTAGAAACATACCTATCAGTCAATACACAGGAAAGCAATTAGGATGTGAGTAAGGATTGCTTGTAGTTGTATAGTTGTAAAATGAGAAGAGTTGGAACAAGATAAAGGACAAACTCTATAGAGACTCAGAGGTAGGTTTTTAGGAAGGAAAAGTAACACAAAAGGCCCAGAGTTAATCAAATGATGCAAACAATACTACAGTAGACTCCAACATAACCAATGTGTGTCAAAACCAATACTCTAGAAAACCTGATGCAATTTCAAACAAGAAGATGTAGCAACCATAACAGCATATCCAATAGCACTGATGACAAATTAGAGAAATCCACTGACAGAGATCCTCCTAACCATGATTAAAGAGATCACATATCCAATTTGTCTACTGCACTATTTGTCATACAAGTAACATTTATATCACAGAAGATCTTATGATACAGGAAGCCTCAAAATCAACTCATCTTCCAATCCCCATACGCTTATTTCTCTGGTATAGTGCATCTTCCAATTTCTTATTTTCCATAACTCTGAAATGGTTCCAAAACTCTACATAGAATGATTCTTGTGAATCTTGATGAAGGAATTCAGAGAACAGTGTGACTTGAAGTTTAGATGTTCTAGTATTGTGTGCTTGTTTCAGGAACATTTGGATTCCACGACAGAAGTCCTTGATTGACACAGATGGAAACCCTGAGTTTCCTGATTGTGAAGTCTTTATGATTTTCATTGTGTTCTTGAAGTCCATTTCCCACTGGGAAATGAATTCAGACACCTCATTATTCATCTTCATTCTTATATCATTGTTAAGGTCTGCTTTCAAGAACAGGATTGGCTCTGTATCACTGATTTGGGATTTGGGAACTTTTGGCCATTGAATATTTTCAGCTTTGTTTCTGATCTCAAGAGATTTGATTATCCAATTTTTCCAAACTGAACCATGTACTTTATTCTTGGTGCTGATTTCTGGATATCCTTTTTGATAGTCATCCTCAAAGGTTTGTGAAACATGTCGCTTCAACATTACCAACCTAGTGTGTGAATTACGCATGAAACTTGCAAAGGTCTTATCAGCATAAATTAGATAAACAATCCTGGCCAATGTTGATAGTCCTGAAGAAGTAAGATGTAAACTGATTTTCCTTTTATCTTCTGGTGATGATTTAATCTTTGGACCCAACTGTGCAATTTGGTAAATCACATTGGTATGCCACAAAAGGAATTGGGCTAGTTTTTCTTGATCAAAACATGATTTTGTAATAACACATTGCTTGTGATAAACTTTCAAGGTGTTCATTGTCACTTCTTTGATCCGTACCCATATCTTCAAGTCTGGATTGCAAGATACCACAAAATATACAAATGGAAGCAGTGAATCTGATGTCCACATTTCTTTTCCTACCTCCCAAGTTGGACTCAATGATAGTTTGCTTTGTGCTTGGTATCTAATCTTCAGGGTTTCAATGAGATCCTGTGTGAAATGGGCAGCTGCAGCTGAACACATTTTGTCTGGATTATGTAAGTGAAATCTTTGTATATCAATTCCTGGTATCCTTTGTGCAGAGCTATGCTCAATCTTTTGAAATTTGGTTGATTTATCTTTAGATTTAGACACATAGCCATCCCCAAGTTCCTTGTCATGAGACACTTGGTTTTTTAAGTGCTTGGAGGACACTTGGAGGCAGTCAGGTGGAAAGTCTTGATTGTATTGCTTAGCACCTATTTGTGGATTCTGGTCAGTCCTTGCACGTTTGAGAGGCCTTTGCTTTGGTTCATGTTGATCAACGCTCATTTTTTGCTCATGAGAGCTTGGTCCTTTGTATCTTGACAACTCCAATTTATGGTGACCTTGTGAGCTGGTCTCTGCCAATGCATATTCAGTTTTTCTGAGTTTCCCTTGATTCTTCATTGTGCCAAAAGGTACAGGAGTTTCCATCTTTTGTCCAATAGATTTATATCTTCTATTTGTCTGTTCTTCTTGACCTAATTGATTGGAATGTTTGTTCAGGTACTTATTGAATGATTGTGAATCCCATGATAAATTACGCCTATGTTGTTCTGAGTTTTCTACAAATTTCTGATATTTATTAGGAGCTGTAACTTGATTGTATGTGATCCTAGCTTGCACAGAAGGACTGTGATCTGGAACACATTGTTCATTCCTCATTATTTGTCTGTGAGAGGTGGAACATTTAGAGGTTGACAACTCAGAAATCTCATAATCTTGTGGACTTTGCCTTGACATGCCTCCCAAGACCAGATACTCTTTACCCTCCTTGTTGTTTTCTATGATCTTCTGACATTTATTAGAAAATATCCTTGAATCCTCCTGAATTCTGATCTGATCAACCAGACTGCGCTTTGGGACACTATTTCCATTTGTCATCTTTTGTATACAAGGGGTTGAACCTGGAGATCCTGTCACCTTTTCAACCAGGGAGCCTTTTGAGCTTGGTCTTGTTTTTCCTAATTCAGCTTTGGAAAACTGTGCTTTACTTTTGATTGATCCACCAGGTACATGTCTTTCAATAATTGGACTAAAGGATGAATATTTTCCTAGCATTGTTTTTCCATCATCTGATCTAGGAGGTCGTTTTGGAAGCTCCTTTTGGAGTGATTGACGTGCAAAGCTCAAATCCAATTTTTGTTTGTCTTGATTTTCTATATTCTTCTGACGTTTGATGCTTGATTCTTGTGTTGGTAAATCTTTGATGCATGTATGGGGTGACAACTCAGTATCTAATGTACCTTCCCTAATATTGAATCTTGGCTTTTGTAAGCTGTGTTTCATAGATAGACCCATATGACTCAAGATACATAACACCACTATCACAAAGCTTTTGAGGTTTGTCATCTTGTTTAGTAAAATTTAGGTGAAAGATTTGGATAAAATGTCTCTCAATTAGAATCTCACTGCTTTTAATATTGGAAGGGGGTGGTGAACTGAAAGGATAACAAAGCATGAAACATCACTCTGAATGCATTATCCCCATGTGTTTAGGATCTTGATTGAGTTCTCCCCAGGTGTAATGAAAGTGGCTCTTACATGTTTCATCATATGCTACTAGTACAAGTTGAGCATCAGGTTCAACTTAATCTGGAAGTGAGTTGGAGAATAGGTTTCAAATTATGGTATATGTCAGATGATGTTGGTTGGAAAAGCAAAGTGAATTAAATGAGTCTCATCATGATCCACTAATAAACCAATCTCTTTGAAGTTCTTGTGAGAGCCCTTTTGGATCTGTTCAAGAGAAATTGCAACACTTGCACCACAATCCCAGACAGTTCTAACTACTCTACCCCATGCAGTGTCAGTGTGTTAGTGATCCTGCTTTGAAGCATTGTCCACTATCAACTAAGATCACCAACATTCACCTTTGATTGCTTCATCTAAGCACATCTCATTGGCACAGTTTTCCACTTCTTGCATTAGTACACTGATACCTATCACAATGTTTTTCACTTCACTTGAGCTTAAGTAAGCTCCTCAGTGTACTTAAGGTTCCCTCAAAGAGAGGCTGATGACAGACTACATATAAGCTTTGGCAGATTCCTCGCAGTTCCTGTGTCAAACTTCACTAAGTACCATACCCCTTGCTAGAACTCAAGTGAGGTATTTACTGCTAAAATAAATGCCTTGTCTGAGTAGTGGACTGTATTGGCTCAAAAACCATTACATTGGGTTATCAATTTGTGGCTCACTCCCAGATTGGTGTAAAATCAGGAGGAATGTAAAAGAACCACTACACATGATCCAATTGCAATCTCATCTATTTCTCTCTGGGAACTCAACCTTTTGAGGTGATGGAAGATTGGACATTTTCATTCTTTCTGTGAAATACTGACTCCAAGAGATATCACCTCTCAGCAAAAGTTGAAAAAGACTCATGATTTATGACTCACTAGGAGGATTTCCAGACAGACCATATGCAGAAGCTTGCAATCGGATTGTTTGTGATGTACTTTTGTTATCCTGATTTTGTTTTGCCTCAAGAACTGTTTGGTTACAAACAAAGTGTGAAATTGAAAGTCAAGATCTTTGAAATTGAGCCAATAAATTTCACTTCTCAGGCAAAAAACTGCTTTTGGTGGTAAGTCCCTTGCCTGAGCTCTTGCAGGAAGAAAGGGACTTGGTTGATTTTGTTCCAGTGTGGGCTTGCCCAGATGTTGGACTGATCAACAGGTACAAGTGCTAGTTGAGGGCCCCAGATGTCTAGGGTGTTCTCAATGGGCACAGTACCTAAGACAACCTAAGCCTTACATGCCAAAGATGAAATGACAGAATTGATTACAGCATTGAAAAATTGATAAATGTGTGTTGTACTCAAGATAGTATTGTTTGGAATTGAGCTGTACATACCGTAAAAAACCTTAGTGATGGGACCAAGTGGTGAGATAGGATGGCAAGAGCTACATATGGTGAGACAGGATGGTGATCTGAGGGGATTTTACACTGTAGCACCCAATGGTATAAGGTATTTTGTAATAAAATCATGTACTTGGCAAGAGAAGACCCTAGATATATTTCTGCACCTGTAAACATCCAAAGGGAGGTTACAGACTCTGTTCAAAGGTAAAAGCACCCCGGTCTTTCAATACATTTTATCATCTCCAGATTACACAGGTGGCTTGTAGAGAAAGACAAGTAAACTTCTCAAAGAAGAATCCAAAAACTTGATGAATTTCAAAAGAAAGGTCATGGAAAAAAGTGAGCATTGATCCTCTACTAATCTATTGTTGTCAAACAAGATATACTTGCTTTGATTGATAAAACTGAATGATCTTGTGAAATGATACAGAGCTTTAGATGCAGCTGTTAGGTTGAACTTAAGTTTTGATGAATTCTTCTTGTGGATGAGGAGGAGGTCTACATGCCAGCACTCTGGATTGGGGTATGAAGGGTCTGAAGCACATTGTGGTAATGGTATGGGGGTTGAGCAAAGGGAAGACCCTTTATTGGGGTAACTACATAAAATAGCAATCTTGAAGGGAAGCTGAGCTTTGTGAAGGCCAGAAACCCGTTCACAAGTGGGATTCTTGGAAAAAACCTAAACTTAGCCCCCCCTTGTCAAAGGCCTGCGCGGGACTCGGAGCCCCATAGATTCACGTGTTTGATTTTGTGTGAATGGGTGTTGAAGAGTTTTA